GGAACTCCCTTTATATACTCAGCTGCAATCGGAGCACTATAATATTATCCAGTTGGGACCATTAAACTAAGATGAAATAGTCAACCATTAGTTCACAGATAATGGTTGACTCTTAAGTGGGTGATCTCCAAACATTACACCAACTCAGTCAAGAAACAAGCTCTTTTTAGGATTTATTTAATTATGATACTTTGCAGGTACTAATAATTTTCGGCCACTTCTGATGGACCTTTACAGAAATTCTCATAGCAATAGTTTGTATTCCTGATTGAACATTACCTTGGTCTTTGGAGTACATATTGTTGCAATAATATGTGTTAATGGCCTTCCTGCCTAATCAGCTCATATACTCCTGAATCATTGATGAGGGTTCTGAAATGGAAAAATGGATCAATAGAGACACTCATGTCCTGTTTTATATGTAGTACAACATAGAGGAAACAGGTACTATTGCACATTTCGATCAGCACCAAACTACAGGATACCTGTTTAACACATCAACTTTTGGCAGGAGTATTGTTTCCTCAGGATATCCAAATTCCTCACTGGATCATATTAAAATTTATGTTTGCGACATTCAAGCTCACACTACCACTGAAAATAATTTTATGTATTTTAAATGAACTCTATTCTTAATGTTTTAATCTGAATTGATGGCTGACACACCAGTGAAATGCTAGGGGAGTGCTGTATTGTCAGAGGTGCCGTCCTTCAGATGAGACATTAAACTGAGGTCCCATCTGTCTGTTCAGGTAGTGATTAAAGATCCTATGACACTTTATGAAAAGAGAAGGGAGTTTCTCTTGGTATCCTAGCCAACAATCTTCCAGATAAAATTGATCATTCACTTCATAGTTGTTTGTGGGAGATTGCAGTGTGCAAATTGACTGTCGCATAAGCCTACAAAATACACAATCTCTAGAAAATATTCTGTGCAGTGCTTTGATATGTTTTGATGATGTGATATGAATTGCAACGGTTGATTTGTCTATATGGTGATGTTCCACCTCTTTAACAGCTGTTAAAATGTCATATATACTACATTTGACATAGCCTGTACCTCGTTACAAAATACTACTGCCAGCATCTAAACAGCATTTGTTAAGGGTATATGTTGAGGTCATGAGAGAGAGTAGTGGATTTACAGGAAGGAATAATTAGACATTGGATTTAAAAGATATTTGCGATTAACTGCCCAGTTGTTTAAATTGTTTAAATTCTTATGTTCTAATTCCAGATTCACATCTACTGGTCAGGAAATCCTTGCAACTATCACAGAATTCGTTTTGGTCAGCTGTGTGATTTGCACATGCGGAAACCCAACAACATGCTTAAGAGTATCCAAACCACAGTGAGAGGTCCCCTGGAGTACTGTGGACCTGCCTGGCACAGAAACTGGACGAGAACAACAACAACAAATTACATTTGTATAGTGCCTTTCACGTCAGGAGGGAACAAGTCTTATTGGGCATAGCATGTTAGAAGTTCTAATTTAATTTGACAATCAAATATTCAGGACACAACATCTAAGGAGATGATTTTCTGCCTGTGGTAATTTTAATGCTAATTTATTGGCATGGATAAGATGCAGGTGGAGAGAATTTCTACTGATTTGCATTTTCTGACATTTCCACTAAATTATGAGGCCTTTGGTACCTTGTAATTGTCTTCAGAAATTGTAAAGTTTCACTGATGGATGCACAGAGTTGGAAGAAGACAGAAGCTCCATTGTAGAGGCAAGGAAGACGGTATGCAATTATGAATCCTGGAAATGAAGACAGACTACTGGAGATCTGGCGATGACATCTGTCAAATACTGATGTACAGATGAAGTGCAGCTGTAAATTAATGTACACAGGAAGTAATGCTTGTGTATTTGAGACAAACTAACATTGGTATGCTGCTTCAGGTATAATTTATGCATAGTGCTATCCAATTTAGTTTTATTCTGGGAAATTGCCTAGAAGGGAAAACATGTTCCAATTTACCAGACATCTGGCATTATGGGGATAACATTTCGTTCAACAGGAGTGATTTGAAAACCTTTGCTAACCTAGACTTCAGCCAAATTAATGTGATTTTGGTGGGATTAAATCTCTGTGATGTGTTTTGCACCTGAAATGTAATCTACTTTTGAGATTCCTAATTGAATCAGAAAAAATGGCAAGTTTTCTGTGCAAGTTACATCTCTCTCTTCTATATAAAAAAAACTATATGCACTACAATGTATGTACCTTGATTTTTGCAGGTTGTTTTCAGCTTTGAGGAGACTGGATCTCTACTTGTAACTTGAGCCGCTCTAATGAAATTAGTTATAGGACAATCCCTCCCAGTATGATCCAAAGTAGCTCCCTTAATTTACATGAGGCCCATGCTTTGAAGTGGCTTGGGGCTTATCTGGAGTTACATGACACTGGGTAAAGAATATTGGCTGAGTAGACAGCTGGTATTCAATGAAGGAACATTTATTAACTACACAGGTTTGTGCATTTCAATGCCTGGACAGTACTCTTAAATGAGTGTTTTACAGTTTTATCCTGACATAAATTGAATTGAGTCTTATTAGAGGATTAAGTCATGCATGTACAGGTGGAAACTTTCCATCAATAAATACAGACATTTGTTGAATAAGTTGATAGATATATATTAACATCGTAACTTATCAAGGTCATAAGTTAGTGCTTATAGCTTCCATGTCATCAACTATCAAGACACATCAAATATGTTGAAGAAATTTCTTGAAAAAATTATTTTAATTTACAACAAAATGTATTGTTCTAGATTTATTGTTTGGCTCATTAATGGTTCTTACAGCATGAAGTTTTCAAATAATGAGGATATTTATTTAGTTTCAAGTTACGAGATGCCATTTTGCTTCTTGCAAGTTTAGAGTTATATAATAATCTTGCATTATAAGGGCAGAGCAGTGGACTATACATATAAATATTTCTCACTGTAATGTAAAATACTTAATAATAATAATAATCCTTACATTTCATAGAACACCTTATCACGTCTTCTAGACATCCCAAAGCGCTTCACAGAATATCCTGTAAAGTGAATTGACTGTATATTTTGTGGGAGAAACACAGCAGCCAGTTGCGCACAGCAGTGTCCCACAACCAGTCATAGATTGAGTGACAAAAAATATATTTTTTTGAGGGATTATTATCCCCGGAAAAGCGATCCACCAATCAACTAACAACCGGGTTCCTACTTACTGCTAGGTAAACAGAGGTGTGTGGAGTGGAGTAAGGAAACTTGCCCAACATTTCGCCCTGCCGGGAACAGAACCCAGGTCTCTCGCTAAGTGAAGCAAGTGCTCTAAACACTGAGCTACAGGCTCTGACCACTGAGTGCTCTAATCACTGAGCTACAGAATTGATTTGGGTGTGGAGGCAGATGGATCGCTGAGTTCTGCCTAGTGGGATCTAACATGTAAAATGAAAGGTAAAATATTTTCAGAACACGGAGAAATAATCCCACATTGCCCATTTTTTTCTGCAGCACACACTTTGTGCATTTATCATCAGCTCTTTGAATGTAATCCAACTTCACAAACATTAAGGCAGTCACATTGTTTCACTTTTGCTAATGTAGCTAAGTGTATATGTTTTATTCTCAATTGTTTTGTTCATACACTAGAATTTAGTACAGCCGGAAATGTGGTTAAAGCATTGTCTTGAAGTTAGTTATGTCAGTTCAATATTATTTCTTATTGAGTATCAATGGAGGGTAACGCTTTTTGAAAACTACTAGTTGGGTAAATTACTGCATAATCCTGATAAAAGGAATATTGCAAAATTGCAGAAGCTGTCTATGAAAAACATATTTTTCACCCACCAAATATACAGTCAATTCATTTTACAATACATTCTGTGAAGCGCTTTGAGACATCTCGAAGTTGTGATAAGGCGCTATATCAAATGCAAGGATTATTATATGATGTGAATTGTTTCTAGCAATAAAAGTGCTGGAAAGGTTGATGATGAAGCTTTTCATACCTCGGGGATGATTACAAAGTGACACCAGATCCTTTGATCTAAAAAAAAAGTCAGTGCGTCACATTGGCTGAATTTTTAATCCCTGATTCTCATCAAGAATAAGGACAGTATAATTTTATAAGGTGCTTTAGCAGGGAATATCTCACAATTTTTGCAACGTAATTACAGCAAGTAATTCAGTTTCTTAGCACTGACACATACAACATCTTACAATATAACTTGTAACAATTTTGAAAACTCTGCTTGTATGTATGTATAGGGTGAAGGGGACAGGACAGGAATAGGTTACCTACCGTGTGTGTGTGTGTGTGGGGAGGGAGGGAGGGATGGAGGGGGGTGTGTGGGTGGGAAGCTACATCAGTTGATTTTGTGGGGCAACAGAAATTTCTTTTTAAAAAAAAAGCGCAGGAAGGCACGAAACTGAACGATTTGCAGGAAACCCGCCCTCCCGGTGCTGCAGCGAGGAACAGTCATAAATTGGTCACTCAATCCACGACCTGGGAGCGGGGGGCCATGGCACGGATGTGGGTCACTGCGGCCGTGCGCGATTGGCTGCCGCCTTTTCGCCCACCAAACGCACAAGTCCCCGCACTTTGCGGTACATTCTGCGAAGCGCTTGGACGCGACAAGGCGGCGACATCAAATGCAAAGGATTATTATCACGTCATCTATTTGCGTACGATCGCTATTATCGCTATTGCCTTCGCCCACAAATATACAGTCAATTCACTTTACAGTGTGTTCTGTGAAGCGCTTTGGGACGTCCTCCCGACGTGAAAAGCGCTATATCAAATGCGAGGATTATTATTATTATTATTATTACCGTTTGAGCCCGTGGCTCAGGTAACCTGCAACCCCCCCCCCCACCCGGGCTTTCATCCCAGAACTGAGTCTGCGCACTGCACCGTGGGTGGGGGGGAGATGGTGGTGGTGGGGTGGGGGAGGGTTGCGCATGCGTGCTACCATTTTGACGCAGGCGCAGACGGGTTCGGGAGGGAGGGAGGGAGGGTGGTGGTGTGTGCGCTGTGGTGCGGTCTGGTTGCTATGGTGACGGCGGAGGCTGGAGAGGCGCCGGAGTGAGTGAGTGAGTGAGAGAGAGAGGAGAGAGAGAGAGAGCGGCCCCGAAGAATGGAGGCGGCGAGCGATCCCATGAAGACCATCTACAGCAACGACGAGGACCTGCTCGAGCTCCTCGCCTACTCGTTCGGGGAGGGCTGTTTTCCCGTGTAACGTATCAAAAGATTTCTATCTGCCGCACCGGGGAGAGGGGGCGGGTTACTTTCTGGCTGTCGGCCCTCTCGAGCCGAAGGCTGAGCGGCTGCGACGCGCCCCCGGCGGCCACGGTGCGGCTCTCGGAGCAGAAGTTTCCGCCACGGACTCAAAAAAGTTTGTGGCGTCTTCTGTTTATCTCCGCTGCGGGTGTCGTGTCGGCCGTGGGGGCTGCGAGTCGGCGCTCTCGCCTCCCTGAGTCAGAAGGGGTTGTGGCTTCAAACCCACCCCCCACCCCACCCCCACGTCGGGACTTTGAGCGCACTTAAGGTGTAAGCTGACACGCCCAATGACGACGACAACAGACTGCACTTGCGAAGCGACCTTTCGCGTCGGGAGGGCGTCCCAAGGCGCTGGACAGTCGCGGACTTGGACAGGGGAACAGGGGTTTGGGTTTGGGAGGGAGGGCAGGGGGTGGGTGGGGGGTGGGTGGGGGTGAGGGTGGGTGGGGGGGTGGTGGGGTGGGGTGGCCGAACGCGCGGCCGAAGAGCAGGGACGCGAGACGTGTTTTGAAGGAGGCAAAAGGAGGGGCGAGGCCAAGGGACTCGTGAGATGGAGTTCCGAAGGATGGAGCGGGGTTGGGGGGGTGGGGCGCGGAGGGGCTGAAGGCCAGACCGCCGATGGTGTGGCGGGCCGGGCCGGGCCGGGCGGGGGACACGGAGCAGTCCAGAGCCTGCGGACCAGAGGTAGTGGACGGGTTAGTATGGGGTTGGCAGGTCATAGAGGTAGCAAGGGGCAGGGCCGTAGAGGGTCTTGAAGGCAAGGACGAGGATTTTGAATTCTATCCTCTGGGGGATGGGGAGCCAGTGGCGGAGTCGGGCGAGAATGGAGAAGATGGGGTTATGGACCCTGGTGCGGGAGAGGACACGAGCTGCAGAGTTCTGGATGATCTGCAACTTGTGGGAGGGAAGAGTTGGGAAGGCCGACAAGCAGGGAGTTGGCATAGTCGAGCCTGGATGAAATGAATGCGGGCAATAATAATAAAAATCCTTACATTTGATGTAGCGCCTTATCACGTCTTCGATGCGTCTCAAAGTGCTTCACAGAATATACTGTAAAGTGGATTGACGGTGTGTACTTTATGGGCGAAACATATGAGCGTTTCCCTGAGGGGAGAGGCAGTGGTGGAGCCGGGCAATGTTGCACAGGTGGATGAAGGCAGAGCGGGTCATGGCACGGATGTTGGATAGAAAGGACAGTTGAGGGTCAAACAAGATGCCAAGGTTCTGGACTGGCTCAGTGAGGTGGAGTCTGAATCCGTGGATGATTCTGCCAGTGCCTGAGATGCGGAGGCGCTGACGGGAGCCAATCAGGAGAGCCTCGTTCTTGTTCATATTCAACTGGAGAAAGTTAGCTCTCATCCAGGACTTGATGTCTGACATTCCGTCAGGACAGCAGCGGTCCTGGAGACTGAGAGTGGAGGCAGAAAGATAGAGTTGGGTGTCATCCGCATACGTATGGAGGTTGACCCCACATCAGCAGATGATTCACCAAGAGGGAGCATGTAAATATTGAAGAGGAGAGGACCAGGGACAGAGCCCTGAGAAACTCCAGCACAGTGTTGGGGGGGTGCTGCATTGTAGGAAACCCGTACTATGGATGAGGCATTAAAACAAGATCCCGTTTTCCTGTTCAGGTGGATATTAAAGATTCTGTGGTACTATTCTAAAAGAGAAGAGAAATATAAAATTATCATTCACTTAATGGCTGTTTGTGGGACATTGCCTACAAAATGCAGTAAATCCTGTGAAGTGCTTTGAACTGTTTTGACAATGTGATAAAGCATTGTATCAAATTCAAGAATTATTATCTTCTTTTCCTCTTTCTCTCCCCCATCCCTTGTTATATTCACTCTTTCCCCTAGCTTTCATTCCATATTCCCCTTGTCTCGTTCTATCTCTCCCTTTTTTTCTATCCTTTCCATTTCCTCAATCTTGTTCTCTCCTTCTCACTCTCTTCCTCATTACCCTGTTTTCTGCTCTTTTTATTGCCCTTTTCTCTTTCCTGTTTGGCCCATGTAATGTCATTTTTCTGTATCCCACTAAAGAGTGTTAGATTTTTTATCCCATGAAATAGTGGAGTCCTGTATCTTACAATCCAATACAAAATTACATTTGAATAGCGCCTCTCACGTTGGAAGGATGTCCCAAGGCGCTGGACAGCCAGGGATTTGGACCCGAGGAGTGGGGAAGCAGCTTACAACAACAACAAGATTACATTTGTATAGCGCCTTTCACTTCAGGAGGATGTCCCAAGGCGTTGTACAAAGTACAGCATTTCAGACCTGAACTGGGGTTGGGGGGGTAAGGGAGGGGAGGCGAAGGGGGGGTTGCCAATGGCATGGTCAAAGAGGAGGGTCTTGAGGTGGGACTTTAAGGAGGGGTTGAGGCGGAGTGACTGGGGGATGGAACTCCAGAGGTTGGGGGCAGAGTGGCTGAAGGCTCTCTCGCTAATGGTGGGACGGGGGACGTGGAGCAGGCCAGAGCCGGCTGAGCGGAGGGAACGGGCGGGTTGGTTGGGGATTAGGAGGTCGCAGAGGTAAGGTGGGGCGAAGCCATGGAAGGCTTTGTATGTGAGGACCAGGATCTTGAAGGACAGGGAGCCAGAGGAGTCGAGCGAGAGTGGGGGAGATGGGTTCACGGAGTTTGGTGCGGGAGAGGCCACGGACTGCAGAATTCTGGGTTATCTGCAGCCTGTGGAGGGAGGAGTTGGGGAGGCCGACAAACGGTGTTTGCATAGTCGAGCCTGGAGGTGATGAAGACTTAGTGGTTAAAGCACTCGCCTCACAAGCTAGAGGACAGGACAACAACAACAACAAGATTTCATTTATAGAGCGCTTTTCACATCGGGAGGACGTCCCAAAGCGCTGGACAGTTGGGTCAGGACCCGAGCAGGGAAATGGCGGAAGGCCTGGCCACTGATGGTAAGGCGGTTGGGGCGGGGGATGTGGAGCAGACTGGAGCCAGAGGAACGGAGGGTACGGGCAGGTAAGTAGGGGGATAGTAGGTCAGAGAGGTAGGAGGGAGCAAGGCCGTGAATGGGGATGAGGATCTTGAATTCGAGGACAGGGCGAAAGCTTGAGCAAGTTTACTTACTCCACATGCCCTTGTTTACCTAGCAGTAAGTAGGAACCCGGTTGTTAGTTGATTGGCAGATCGCTTTTCCAGGGGTAATAATCCCTTCNAAAAAAACAAAATAATAATAATTTGGTCACTCAATCCATGACTGTTTGTGGGACCTGCTGTGCGCAATTGACTACCGCGTTTCATCCACAAAATATACAGTCAATTCACTTTACAGTAAATTCTGTGAAGTGCTTTGAGGTGTCTCAAAGACGTGATAAGGTGGTATATCAAATCCAAGGATTATTATTATTTTATTATTAAGTATTTTACAATACAGTGGGAAAGATTACATTTATAGTCCACTGCTCTGACCTTTCCCCATACCATTTTATATTTTAAATCCTTCATTGTCCAACCCCTTTGGATGTCCTCCCGACGAGGCGCAATATAAATGCAATTTGTTGTTCAAATATTTGATTTTCTTTTAAAAAATATTTTGTTTCTGTTTCATTCATTTTTGGTGGAAAATTCCATATCCTAACAATGTTTCTCTTATTATTCCCTTTGATATTTGGTCACAAATTGATACCCTCAAATTATCAACTCACCATCCAATAGAAATGATTTTGAGAGAGCTCCTCTCTTCCAGTGAAATCTGTTCCAGTTTCTCCAGTCCTTCCTCATATGCATAGATTCCAGTATTCTCCTAATGACTATTCTCTACCCTCTCCATTGCCTTGATGTCCTTCCTAAAGAGGGGATTTTTAGAACTAGACAGAAAAAACCAAAAGTGGGTTAACCAATAATTTATACAGATTTAGCATTTTATCCTCCAAATAGAATACAATCGATAGAGTAGCTGCAGAGAAACTATTTCGTCTGGTGAGGAATCCAGACCAAGGTGGCATAATCTTAAAATTAGAGCTAGGCCATTTGGGAATGAAATCAGGAAGCATTTTTTCATGCATAGCTTCGTAGAAATCTGGAACCCTCTCCCCCAAAGGGCTGTGGGTAGTGGATCCATTAAAATTTTCAAGACTAAGTTGGATAGATATTTGTTAGGTAAGGATATTGAGGGATTATGGGCAAAGGCAGGAAATTGGAGTTGAGATACAGATCAGCCATGATCTAATAGAATGGCGGAACAGGCTCGAGGAGCTGAATGGTCTGCTCCTATTCCTATGTTTCTGTTATTTGCACATGTGCAGCAAAGCAGGAAGTGATGTTGAAGGTGACTCAATGACCTGGAAATTGGCCATTTTAGCATAAGACTACTGGCGGCATTTAGTAAGCAAGTGAGCAAATGCATGTATACATAATGAATGTGGTCCACAGTGCAAACGTGTATTGGAAACTAATTTGTGTGACAGTGAAGGGTGTTTTGAATAATTGAACCAGAAATAGATATATTTAATGATTTATATTTATATTATGCTCAGGGGTTATATTTGTTTGTTAAACATAATTTAGAAAATGAGCCTAAGTTCAGAATGTCTAACTTAAAAATAAATTACACCCTTCTAGTTTCATTGGCATGAGTCTACTGTTTTCTTTCTCCATTAATCTCATATCCTTTCTCTTAATGGGGTGCCCAAAACTGCACGCAGTACTCCAACTACTCTAACTAATGTCTTGTACACATTTAATATGCTTTATTGCTTATAAATAAGATACTCCATATTTAAAACCAGAATCTCATTTGTGTTGTTAAGGTAACTTCAACCTGCATTCCAACCTGCAAAGATATATCCCTCTGTTTCTCAACATCATTGGAAGGTTACAATTTAGTATACAGTATACTTAGTTTTATTCTCAAATGTAATCCAACGCATTTCTCAACATTAAACTACTTCTGCTAAACTATTTATGGTCTTGACTTAACTTAATCATTCTTTTTCAACCCTGGCAAAGTACTGCGTTTCAGGCATGTTTCTCAATACCAAAACGTATAATGTCAAGAAAATAAGACCCAGGTTTATTTAAATCATGTTACAGTGTAATGCATGTTCCCTTCTTTTCTGGAAACCTGCAAAGAAACACTGGAATTATTCAATGTGGAAGGCATGTTTTATATTTTTTCTTCTAGTTCTGGTCTCTCAAATGACCTGAAAATAGGTTTCTTTAAAACCGATCATGCAACTCAAACAGATGAAAGTGAAATATTGGCTCTGAAAGAACTGAGTGATAGCCTGGCATCTGTATTTAAGGTACTTGACTCATTTAGTAAACCAAGAACACAGTAAAATGTGATCAATTATATTATGTAACCTATTGTTTCCTGGATTCTATTCACTCCAAAAAACACAGCTTGCGACAATAATCCAATAATAATAGTAATAATAATCTTTGCATTTAATATAACACCCCATCACATTTTAGAGACATCTCAAAGAGCCTCACAGAATACTCTAAAGTGAATTGACTGCACATTTTGTCAGCAAAAACGCATCCACATCCAGATCCAAAATTGTGTGGAAAATAATCGCTAAATGGAAGTTTGATATCACACTGGCCTATAATTGCCCATCAATGCCATTTGGAAAATGTACTGTTCAGTAGCTGCAGACTTCACCATCTCAAATTTTATCAAACAGTTCAGTAACCTGTTTACAAGAAGCTTTAACCGGAGCAAAAAGAATTCAATAGTCCCTTCTATTGGGTATGTAATAATAATAATAATAATAATCCTTGCATTTGATATAGCGCTTTTCACGTCGGGAGGACGTCCCAAAGCGCTTCACAGAACACACTGTAAAGTGAATTGACTGTATATTTGTGGGCGAACGAGGCAGCCAATTGCGCACAGCAATGTATTGTGTTATTGGTTCGCTCAGAAATGGTGTTGCAACCTGAGTTTTCAATTGTTTGTTATACAGTTTGGAATAGTTAAGTGCATCTACCGAGGTCTAGCAACACAGAATATAAAAGAGCAGTATTTGTGGAATCAGAATGCTGAAAATGAAAGCAGACAATGTCATAAGCAGTTGTGTGTTTCTCCACTAGTTAGTTTTTAGATGAGTTTGTAGTGCATAATCATTTGTGACTGACGATTGTAATTGAATTTAACAAATTATTCCATTAATAGAAGTGTTAGTATATGTTTTATAATAAATCTTGTGCATGGCAGTGTCTTTTTTTTAGACTATTTGTTTGAGGAAAGCCATAGGGAATGTGAATAAGGCCATAACACACAGACAAACACAGATTTCCTGTTTAGAAAAGGTTGAGCCCATATTTCCAATGCAGATTGACAAATATCTAAGAAAATACAGTCAAACCTGTCTTCAACAACCACTTAGGGAGTAGTCAAAAATTGCCTTTATATTTATATTAAAAATTGCCCTTATATATATTTATATAAGGGTGGCCTCTGATTCATTGTGCGTGTAGATTTGTGCCTGGGCTGTTTCAGGATGGTTATTAACGTTGTGGTTTATTGAGCAGGTTTGACTGTAATATTGAAGGGCACGGGAAAGATTAGGGAGATGGGATTAGAGTAATTAGCACCAACACAAGTTAGGAAGATTCAGGTGCCAGTCAAGTTATTTTTTCTCAGAAAGAGAAATAGAAAGGTGAATCACTCATGCTACTGTTGTGCATTTTGTGCCCCACGACTGAAGAATAAAATGAATATTTCACATATACAACGCATACTGAAAATGAATGAATGTCTAAGAAATCCCATATGCAATAAATAATCATGAAAATCTATTTTCACCCCCCTCCCCCCAACACTTAAGGCAAGTCATAAAAAGATTTTGCATCCACCTCTGAGATAAATTGATTATTCACTTCATGTTTGTGGGACAGTGGTGCGTGCAAATTGGCTGCAACATTCACCTACAAAATACACAATCACTATATTTTAGACGTCTAGAAGACGTGAAAAGCACAATATCAAATGCAAGGATTTATTATTATTATTACGTTAAAGTAAATCCTGTGAAACGTTTGAGATGCCCTCCTGAAGAGAAAGGTGCAATATCAAATCCAAGGATTATTATCTTTTTTAATTTAAAAGAAATTAAGCTGTCATTGGCCCAGCTTTGTATTATTCTCTGTGATTGGTGTTTTAAATAAATTTGACAACTGTAGTGCTTTACAAACCACCACCTTAATTGTGATTCTATACCATAACCAATCACAGTGAAATGAATGAACAATTTTACCTGGGGAATTATTGGCTGGACACTGGGTGAATTATATTTAATATATGTGTGAAAAACAAAACGTTTTCTCATTGTACTGGGAATTGACTGGGGATGATTACTCAAGCTTTTTATACAAAGCCTCCAATATGAATATCATTACACTAGCAAAATTATTCTTGAGCTTAGTTATACCAATCATTATAAAAACATCTACAGTGGAATTGAATTGCAAATTAGCATCTTAACTTAATATTCAGATCATAGTTGGTAACTGGTTGAGCATGTCTCTACCATAACAGAAGGGTGGCTATGCACAGCTCATGTCCTTCAGTGTTCCACATCATAACTCAAATTGCTTATCTAACTTGTGATAAGTTTAGGAGCAAAAATCTCTGCTCTCAGTCATTATTGCTGCTACTTGAATCAATAGAACGAAGAGAGAAGATTTTTCCACCTCAGCTGAAATATTTGTTGCAAGATACTATTGGCATATGAGGTGACAAGTGTACCTAAATAAACAGAATTGAGCTCATTCTTATTCCCTCAAGAAATCATGCCAAGGTTTTTTTTTATATTTTGGAACTTCAATAGAGGTAGTTATCAACAACAGCAATTTGCATTTACACAACGCTCCTCACGCAGGGTAGTGTCCCATAGGGTCCCAGACACCAAATTAGGGTCTGCATCGTCCAGGTTGCATGTTCAAATTTTAAAATCCTACAGAAAATGCAACAGGGCCACTTTGGCAACTGTTTCACCAGTGTCAAAGCGTTTCCTTCTGCCTTTTGAGACATACCTTAGAATAGCTCAGTGGTTAGAGCATTTGCTTTGCAAGCGAGAGACCCTGGTTTGATTCCCGGCAGGTCAAAACTTTGGGCAAGTTTCCTTACTCCATGCACTTCATAATAATCCCTCAAGAAAAAAAATAATAATTTGGTCACTTCAATCCACGACTGTTTGTGGGACACTGCTGTGTGCAATTGGCTGCTGCGTTTTGCGCACAAATATACAGTCAGTATATACAGTATATTCTGTGAAGTGCTTTGAGATGTCTCGAAGACATGAAAAGCGCTATATCAAATGCAAGGATTATTTATTATTATTATTACTTTGGAATAGCAGAAAACAGCATGGAAATGTTAATAATGGACCTGCAATCCCAATATTTACTTCAAATGGAGACCTCTTCAAATACTAGAATTCAGATTTTTTAAATCCCCATCCCCTGTTTTTTTGTAAGGCTATTTTAAGGATTGATGTATATTGCAATTTTATTTACATGAATTATTAGCTTGGCATTCTGCCAAATATTAGATTCCTGAGATGCATGCTTAATGCAATAAAATATTGTACTTCTGCATGTCACAGAAATCAGTATTCCACATACAGTATGATGTTTATGTTGAATCAAGTTGATGCTTAAGAATTATATGAAAGTCAATGTTTAAGTTGCAACTTGGGATATTGTGAATATTGTGAAAAGCAGCTGAAAGGAAACCTAATACATTTATAGAAATTTTGGAGACTGCTTACACAAGTTCCCTTAATAAAAGTTAGTTGCAGGATATTGCTATTTTTATGGAACTTGTATCTCATTTACATAATCAACTCAAACATATCAAATTATTGCTTCATCTTGAATCAAAGTCATTTAACATTCTTTTTTCTAAGACAAAGTTTTAGCAACTGTTTCAACCACAGTGTGGCTAGCTATTGAAAAGTGTTTGTCATATTAGAACTATTTTGTCTTTTTCAGGAAATTCATGTGGTTAAGAGAGACTTGGAATGCAGCAAGATGTCTCTGGAAGCAGGCTATGATTTGAAAATGCAGGAGCAATCCTTAGTCTTATACAAAAGGATGAATGATCAGATTACTGTTCTTGAGACATTGCACAGACAGGTAATAAATAAATATGTTCTTTTTAATTATGCGTGGTACCATCTGCAAGGTCTTTTAATATTCCCTCTTACCCTCCATATGATTTGCTTGGTCTCCTTTTGTTTCTATATTCCTCCCAGTCTCTGTTCTTACCACTGCCCTTGTCATTACATAAGGCAAGCCATTCTGTTTTGTTTCAGATTGGTGGTAACCAAATTAAACTATGGTTACTTCACATCAAAATAACTGTTTTGTAATGTACTAATTAGCTCTTTGAATAGACTACACATTTTTCAGTAGATCTATCAATTAACAGTGCCTCACATTGTATTTCAGTTAATTTTCTTTCCTATCGCTTCAAATTTGGCCTCGAGTCCAAAATCTGTGATTTGTGACCTTCCTTCCTCCCCTTCAATCCAGATATTGAATTCAGTTGTAATTGCTCACTGTTCCTGTAATGCAATCTTATCACCAGATTGTGTTCATTGGTCATAACTATTGCATTTATATTGCATCCTTCACATAGAAATACGTCACTAAGCACTCCAAATAGATGGAGTCAGATGCAGAGCAATGGAGGAGGGGGAGGATGAGGTAGCCATAGGCTTGATCAAAGTGTTAGTTTTTAGACCAGATTTAAAGATCGACAGAGCTGAAGGGATAAAAGATAAAAACAGAAAGTTTCAGAGGATAGTGGAGGAGCATCGTTAAGCATCCTTTTGCCTGACTTAGATGGTAGCACTCGCCTCAGAGGGTTGTGGGTTCATTCCCAACATCAGGACTTGAATTCATGGTCTAGGTTGATAATCTAATAGTTCCTGGGACAAAAAAATCCTTGCATTTGATGTAGCGCCTTATCAAGTCTTTGAGATGTCTCAAAGTGCTTCACAGAATATACTGTTAAGTGAATTGACTGTATATTTTGTGGGGAAGCACTGCATTGTTGGAGGTGCAATCCTTAGGATGAGACATTGAACTAAGGGCCCATGTGTCTGTTTAGATGGCCATTTAAGATCCCATGCTCTGTTTCATCCACAAAATACAAAATCACAATACTTTACCAAAAATCATGTGAAGCTCTTTGAGACTTTCTTCCGGCTTGAAAGGTGCCAAACAAATCCAATAATTAATATTATATGTTGTTATAGGCTCAGCCACTGATGGAGTTGGTGGGCTCTGCACAGCAGTCTCAAGTTAGCTGAGTGGAGGGGCCAACAGAGGAGTGGGATAGGAGAAAATCACAGAGGTAGGGAGGCGCTAGACTAGAGGGATTTATAGTTGAGAGTGAGTTGAATATGGTTTGTTCCCTTAAAATGAACCAATAAAGAGAAACAGTATATCAGCCATTGAAAGTATCTGCTTTTTTGCTTTAATTGTCATTGCAGAAGATTCAAACCTTATGCTCAAGTTTTAAGCAGCAGCTTTCAGATGCATTAACAAAGATGAAGGCTGAATACAAGGTTTGTATTGATGGATCTACTTAACATTACATTGAATACTGGGACTATAGATGGTTTGAAAATGCTAACAGAAATATTTTTAACAAAAGAAAAATCACATTCCAGATTGTAATCCTGTTGATCTAATTTATGCAATCATCAGATTTTTCCACTGTATTCCGAAATTAAATTTTGTACATATTATAGTGTTTCTGATGCCTAAGTATTGCGCTTCACATTGAAGTATTCTAATTTTCTGTTCTCTCAAATGTTTCTCTGATCTGTTAGGGAGGATATTCCAAGTGGAAGACATTTGAAACCAATAGAAACAGGAGTAGGTTATTTGGGCCATTGAGTCTGGTCTGCCACTTTGTGGCAGCTCTTTGTCCATGCTGCTGCCATGTGATGGTAGGACCTCCAAATGGTCCTCAAGTGCGTTTTCTCTAAACTGACCTTAACAACTCAGATTAGGGGTTGTGTTAGTCATGAATGACAGAAGTTGTCCTTCAATAGCCTTTCCAAATATTTCTCAAGGCCAGCCTTGGGGAAAGGGCAGACCTATGATATAATATTTCCTGGAAAAATCTGTCATTCGTTTAGAATTTCTGTTGGTTGCAACACATTTGACTTCTGTATATATTATTGTAGAGCAAGAAAGATTTCCAGTTGCTAACACTAACTTACAGTAGCTGACATTACAGGGACTACAGCTATATTGGTTAAAAAAAAGTCCTATTCTAAACATTGATAACAAAAACAACAACTTGCACTTATATAGAGCCCTCTACGCGGGATGCCGTCTCAGAGCGCTTAACAGTGGCGGAACCTGAGTCAACAACAACAAGAAGATTACTTTTGTATAGCGCCTTTCACGTCAGGAGGACGTCCCAAGGCGCTGGACAGAATACAGCATTACAGACCCGAGCTGGGGTCAGGGGGGGAGAAGGGAGGGGAGGGCAAGGGGGGGTGGCCGATGGCATGGTCGAAGAGGAGGGTCTTGAGGCGGGACTTAAGGAGGCTAAGGAGGGGGCGAGGTGGAGTGACTGGGGGATGGAATTCCAGAGGTTGAGGACAGAGTGGCTGAAGGCTCTCCTGCCAACGGTGGGGAGGTTGTGGAGGGGGATGTGGAGCAGACCAGAGCCGGCTGAACGGAAGGAACGGGCGGATTGGTAGGGGGTTAGGAGGTCACAGAGGTAGGGTGGGGCAAGGCCATGGAGGGCTTTGTATATGAGGACCAGGATCTTGAACTGGATCCTCTGAAGGATATGGAGCCAATGGAGTTGGACGAGAGTGGGGGAGATGGGGTCACGGAGTTTGGTGCAGGAGAGGACACGGGATGCAGAGTTCTGGATTATCTGCAGCCTGTGGAGGGAGGAGTTGGGAAGGCCGACAAACAGGGCGTTTGCATAGTCCAGCCTGGAAGTGATGAAAGCATAAACAAGAGATTCAGCGGCCTGAGGGGTGAGGTAGTGATGGAGTCGGGCGATGTTACGGAGGTGAGGAAAAGCAGAGCAGGTCACGGCTTGAATGTGGGGAAGAAAAGACAGTTGAGGGTCCAACAAGACACCTAGGTTCCTGACTGAGTCAGAGCCGGGTTGAGGGAAAAGTGATCATATGCACGGTCGAAAAGTAAGGTTTTTAGGCACGACTTGAAACAGGGGAGAGAGGTGGCAAGGCGAAGGGATTGAGGGAGAGTGTACCAGAGTTTCGGGGCATAGTGGCTGCATGCTCGACCTCCAATGGTGGAATGGAGGGTGCGAGGGACAAACAGGAGGCCGGTGCCAGTCGAGCGGAGGTGCTGGGTAGTGGATTGGGGAGTGAGGAGATCGGAGAGGTAAGGAGATGCCCGGGAATGAAGAGATTTGAACACAACTGTGTGGATCTTGAAGTCGATCTGTTCATTGAAGGGGAGCCAGTGGAGTCTGGCCAGAACTGGTGAGATGGGGATACAGAGTTTGATCCGGGTAAGTATGCGGGCAGCAGAGTTCTGAATGAGCTGGATTTTTTGAATAGTGGAACTGGGGAGACCGAAGAGGAGTGCGTTTGAGTAATCCAGGCGGGAGTTGACAAATGCATGCACAAGAGTTTCGGCTGCATTTGGGGTAAGGTATGGTCGTAGGCGGGCAATGTGGCGGAGGTGGAGGAAGATGGTCCTGGTCAGAAACCGGGTGTGGGGGAAGAAGGAAAGCTGGGGGTCAAACCGGATGCCAAGATTGCACACTGGTTCGGTGAGTCTGAGGGAGAGCCCAGGGAGGTTTAGGAGTTCTTATCCGCAGAAGTGAAGGCATTGACAGGAGCTAAGGAGTACGACTTCTGTCTTGTCCACATTCAGTTGCAGGAAGTTTGTTCTCATTCAGGTCCTGTTATCTGCCGGACAAGCTGATAGAACATCGGCAGACCTGGATTTGATACTAGAGGAGGCAAAGTAGATTTGTGTGTCATCCGCACACATGTGGAAGTTCACCCTGTGTCTGCGGATGACATCGCCAAGAGGGAGCGTATGGATGAGGAAAAAAAGAGGACCAAGGATGGAGCCCTGGAGTACCCCGCAAGTGACCAGGCAGGGGCAGGAGGAGAAACCATTGGGTTTAGTATTCTTGAAATTCACATACTGTACTTCCATTTTTCTTGATGATGTATATTTATATGGCAGAGCAATATAGTAATTTAAAATTGCATTTTTATATTCAATGAATTGGATACAAATCAGTTTGCCTATGGCTGAATCCAAATATGTGCATTGTCACTCGAAAACCCATTAAAACTCAAATATGCAAATTGGTGATATTCAGTCAAAATTATGAATTCTCACTTTAAAATATAACAATAATGTATTTTAAAGCATAATTCAAACAACAAATAATAACAAATTACATTTGTTAAAGTGATGAAACAAAAATTAATGAAGATGTCTTCTATGTATTGATAAAACTTAAGAGTTAGACCAAGTAGGTGGCCCAGTTCTTTACTGTGTTGATATAATAAATAATAATAATTACTGTTGTTGATGTACTGGTGTGGTGTGATATGATGTGTTTTGTTGTGTTAGACACCTGGCTAACCCCCAAAAAGTACTTAATAGATTATTAAGGACTTTCATTATTAGCCAAAGATACTAAGCAAAGATCTCTCAGAAAGGGGAAATTTGTGTGGTAGGTAATCTGGGCTGAATACATAATATCTGTGCCTCTTAAGAAGAGCTGAAGAGTGAAATTAAAATTAGTTGCTTGGAAGAAGAATGGAAAATAATATTTGGTATGGAAAGATTTTTAAAAAATAACTTATGGTTTAATCAAATTTGCTGAGTTTGACCATAAAAACAAATACTCGCCTGTATATCCCAACTCTTTTGTTATGATCTAACAGGTAGTTAGGAGAAAGGATAGATTTTTAACATCAAACAGTACAATTGATTGTCCTCCATGCTGTCTTAGGTTAATAATTATCTGAAACATAACTATAGTTTGTATGGAGAAATATTAGTGCAACACCAGGCTCTCAATCTAGATGAAAATAGTGAGTAACAGAAAAGTTAAAAATTTAGAATTTGTCAATTTTTAATGACCTATTTGTCAGTTTTATAAATTCCAGGTTGATCAACAAAATTGACCTCTCTGCACTAGGGTACTTTATTTTAGAGATTTGTCAGGCAGGGAATTATCACAATCCAGTTGTTAAATAAATTATGCAGAACAATAATTACAGGATTCTGACCAGAAATAATGGCTGTATAAAGTTTAAATCAAATAAAGACTGCTAAATATCCAATCAAAAAGGGATAATGCATTAAACATGCAATAAATTAAATGCAATTTTCTAAGTAAATAGGTATAGTTCTGGGAACAATATTTCCTTATAATAAATGCACATAAGCCTCCGTGAGAATCTATCATAGACATACTCTTTCCTAATTAAGAGTTATTAATTTGAGTAAGCATAGGACATTGTAAGTGTTTATTAATCATTCTAGCCATCTGTTACACCAATCTAGATGGATTTACTATACGTGGAGCAAAACAAAGCTTGAACTGTGGTATTTACATATGTGGTTCTCAGATGCTAAAGAAGAGATTGAACTGAGTTTTGTAAGTTATTACCCAGGTCTATGTTCGTAATTCCAAATTAAATCCTCCTGATAGGTATGCAATTTCCTGTACTTCCTTTCAGTGGTTAATTTGGCACAGTGCCAGTAAGGCACCTAATTTCACCCCCTCGATTCATAGTGTCTGTGCTCAAACAGTGCTTTGCCCTGTCTGTTGCTCAATACTATCATACTGTTAGGTCCTAGTTCTGTAAATATGATTGATATGCAAAATATGCAATTAATAGGTTGCTCATCTTCCCTCCTGTGATTTGTTCTTTGTTATTGTGTTTATAGCTTTAAAACTATTAACTAGAGGTCACTTGGTTTCTAAATGGCAAGAGTAGAAACAGACTAAAAGCAGCATGTGGCCGTCACACAAAGAACAACTGTATCTGCTTTGCCATCTTGTGGCCATTTGACAAATGGGTTTCTCATAGACTCACCCCTGTGATGTCTCTTTGTAATCTTACATCCGTCTCTGGTGCCTATCTAATGATAAGCTTTACTTCAGTTCACTGAGCATCTTTTTAAAAGCAATAATTTCTTTGATTAAACTCTTGTGATAATAGTGAGTTTTAGCTCACAATGAGCACAATTGTTTTTAAAAGTCATTTGAAGGGTGTATGCTTTTATTAATAAGGCTTATTCAGTGTTTCTTTGTATAGATATGTCAAGTGACTTCTGATATTTTATTTCTAAAATATTTTAGGTTTATACTGAAATCAAAAAAGTTTTAGATATTAAATGAAAAGATGTATTCAGATCATGAATGATGAACATATGTGATGATTAAAATAGAGAGACATAATGATTTTCTGACTATTATTTCAGTTGGATACATTTTTTCCTTCCTTTGCCCATGTCCTTTTTAAATTCTCTCATCTTCGTATGTACTTTTGCCCATTTCGCCCTTTGTACTTTTCGCCAACAAAATACAGTCACTCCACTTTAGGTTTATCTCGTGAAGCACTTTGAGACATCTCAACAACGTGATAAGGCACTATATCAAATGTAAGGTTGAGGGCAAGACTATATCCTGCAAGGACAAATTATTGCATTCTTATACTCTCAACCTGTGGTGTAATTTAATACTGTAACATTGTTATCTTTGACATGATATACATAAGTAATTATGTAGAATACAGTATTCTTTAGGGTTAGGACATCAGAACTTATGAACAACAAAGACGTTTGACTGTAATCAAACATCATGTATTGTTCCAACAATGTAGAGTATTTGGAAAAACAATTATGTAATATATTTAATGTAATTCATGATACTTTACTGCTTATAATAATAATTCTCGCATTTGATATAGTGTTTTTTACGTTAGGACATCGCAAGTGCTTCACAGGATTTACTGTAAGGACTCTGAGACTCTTCCTGTGTGAAGGGCCTATTTAAATGCAAGTAGTTGTTGTAAAGTGGAGTGACTATGTATTTTGTAGATTAATTTCGCAGTGTTAACACTGAACTATAATGATCATTTATACACTAGTAGAATGTTCCAGTTAAAATGGTACACCTCTCCAATCATTTGATGGTAACTAATTTTAAGTTGTACAGGCCAATTCACGTTTCCTTGTGTTTTCTTGTAAGTAAATTGTACTTGAGTTCTGTCCAGAAATCTTACCTCTTTCAACCACTTGTCAAGAATTCTTGTTTCAGAGTTGACATTAAGAACCCAAGCAACTTAATTTATTTCAACCTTTTGCTGTTTGCTATTTGGGCAAACAATTATTTTCTCGCTGCACAGTAATGACGTGGCATGCCAGAATCTTGGGGAACTAGAACCATAGAAATTTATGGCACAGAAGAAGGCCATTTGGCCCATCATGTCTGACTGTACTCAAAATAAACCGTTATATGTAATGTTTTATATGGAAGCTGTGGAAATTAGTCTAAATGGTTGATTTGAAGAAAATATCTGTTTTGTCAAACTACAAAATTCTACAATAAATATATTAGCAGAGCTCCGTGATTTTAGTGTATATAATGGTATGAATTAGAAAATTGTTGTGGTTTAAATCTTATAATTTTGTAAGATATTCCAGGAACACTTTGTCCAGAATCTACTGTTAAATTGAGGTGCTGATTTTTGTAATATAATTACTTTTTAATATGTATTAAATTATATTCAGGTGAATAATGCCTGCACAGTCACGTGATCCGAATGGCCTTTTTTGTGCCATATGGTTCTACGCATCTCAGGGTTTTAAATAACATTGATAAATCACTCTTTCTGATGTTAGCTGAAACCCTCTATAATACCCTCCGACATACTGTATGTGTTTTCATCTATATATACATAAATATATAGGACCAGCTTAAGGTAGTGGTTGGATAGAAATTTGGTATTATTGATAAATCGGCCAGTTTTACATTTCTCAATGAAAAGATGACACAATTTCCAGCAGAGTGAAACTCGTACGGCTCTGCCATTTTCACTGTTTTAAATGCGGGTGGGTTAAGCAGACTGCAGCTGTGTGTTCTCACCCACCTGCAGCCTGACCCCATTTCATAGGCTGCCCATAGGACAGTGACAGGCATGATAGGCTCACTGTCAAGTCTGTCACTGCAGCTGATCTGAGACCAGCTGGGTTCGAGGAACGCTGGAGCAAATGTAGCAAAACAAGAGGGGGAAGAGAAACTAAAGTACTCCCCCAAGGCATTCCCTCATTTAACCATTTATAAAGAAACAATTAAAAATGCATGTTTTTAGACAGTTAATTGCCATTTGTATGCGTGTTTGTGTGTTTTTGCGGGTTTGTGTGTGTGTGTGTGTGTGTATGTGATTATGTGTGTGTATCGTGTTAAACGAATATTTGTGTTTAATTTGTTAAAACTCTCTTACATACTAAAAATGGATTGACTGATACCAGCTTCATAATCTGAGAGATTGACCCAAGATAGACGCAATACAATACAATTTACATTTACCTATATGTAGCACCTTTCACAACTCAAGGACATCTCGTGCTTGACAAGCTGGGGTGGGACGTGAGGGGTAAAATATCCAAAAGCACAATCAAAGAGGTATGACTTGAGATGGACCTTAAACTAGATGAGGGTGTCCATTGGAGGGGAGATGTCCACTAACTGGCCCCAATTGTTACCACCTCATCCAATACCACTGATGCACTGACCTTCAGTTCAGTTCTTGTCATAGTTAAGAAAATGAGGTAAAGAAACAAGAGTTTTTACATCAAATGACACTCTATGCATTGCAAATATTAAAAATGTGACTAGGTTTGGTTAATGACCACTGGACATTGCATAAGGAGCAAATATCATTCACAGTCTATTCATTGCTGTTGGAAGAGAGCCAAAGTGCAGGCTCTTATCCAGTTTTTAATCCAGTTTATACATCAACCTCATTGTAGCCAGTACTGAGTGCAAAGTTAACTTCCTCCTTCCTCCTCTTACCAATTAATTAGCTGCCGAGTTTTGCCCTCAAAATATACAGTCAATTCACTTGACAGTATATTCTGTGAAGTGCTTTGAGACGTCTCGAAGAAGTGATCAGGCGCTATCTTAAATGCAAGGATTATTATTGTATAATTCATTAATAATCAACTGGAGATGCTGAACATTCCTGAAAAGAAAAATACTCCATAAGCAACAGATAGAACTACAGAATTGGAATGACTGGTACTAATAAAGTTAAAACAACTTCGTAGTATTGGTGTCATAGTACTAAGCGCTCTGGGACGCTACCCTGCATGAGGGGTGCCATATAAATGCAAGTTGTTATTGATATCTGGTGTTTTTCTCATTTAATTTCTCTCCGAATTCTGTCTCAGCAGGTTTGTACCCAGACGGGGTATTCATTTCCTACTAATTTTGCACACCACTATTCTTAAAATGTTGTAACACCCTTTTGAGGGCAAAGGGGTGGTAAAATGCCTTTCTAAATGTCTGAAGGTTTCCATTCTATTCTAGATCTCATCTATAGATTTGTTTGCAATGGTAAAATATTCTTCTTATCAGAAAAGGCATTATGTTTTTCAGATACCAATAGGAAATTTAATATTCTCCTGTTTTTTGATTAAAATCTTGCTTTTATAACAGAAATATTATGCAAAATTGGCAGAAGAAAAGAGAATGAAGGTTCCTGGACCTTTGGGAATGGCTTCTGTGAAACTTAAGGAAAAAGATTTTATTATTGCATCTTTGAAAGCCAAGGTAGCAGATTTTGAAGATCTGGAAGAGAATAGACTGGTATGGTTCCTTTTAATTTAAACATATTATTGAACGGAAACTGTATTAGCCAAGGTAAATAAAATAAACCAACAAAGAATAATAAATGCAATTTATTTTATTAGTTACAGCAAATATATCTTTAATTTAGAGATATGCACCAGCATATGGAGTTTATGCAAAGTGATGTCAAAAAAGGACAAATGTATTAGTTCACTTTCAAAACAAAACTGTTTATTTTTATGTAAGCCGCCAGCACCAAGTTTTGTTTTTTATTTATACTGTGCATTCTGTAAAACAATCTCACACATTTGAAATCAATACATCCTGAAAGCAGCCTTCTTTGGTTCTTTCATTTTTAAAAAAAAGTTATTATTGTGCATACTTACAGTTGTAGGTGAGATTTGCTTGGTATTTGAATGCCGGTAATGTAACTGAAATTGCATTATGTACAGGACATAAAGGATTTTTCTGTTGAAGCTGAAATATTATGTCAATATAGAGATGTTATTGAATTAATGTGTCATGGTTCCAAGTATTTCAAATTGAGATTAAAATTAAGAATTGAAGCTTTGAAGTTAAACTTTATTTCTAACACTCTTCTGTAGCTTTTATGCTGTTTAGTAGAAATGTACATTATTCTGATTGTTTTTGTAGCCTCTCTCTCTATGTTTACTTTGTAGTTAAGATTATTTTCTTAATTTGTTCAATAATGAATGCTTCCTGTAAATGAGGGCCAATTGAGGGTTTTATGGTTTCTGAATTTGCTTTGCAAATTCTGTTAATTCCAAATTAACTTCACTAACTTTGGGGGGGAGAGGGCGGTGGTAAGTAGGATCATCTTAGAGCTGAGCTTGCTCCAAGGTGACATGCTGGCTATGGAGTGTCAGAATCAAATCAATCCTCTGTGGCAGTCTTGGTAGTCTGGTTCCTGGACCGTGCAAGTCTGCTGTACTCCAAAGTACTGCTGATGACAGACCAGCCGGCTCGGTCCATTAGAGGGTGTTTCTAAAAGACCTCTGTTTTGCCCAGAGATCTCAGCATGATCTATTAACTTTTCAGTTAAGAATTCTGCCTAATGTGATCTCAACTAGATAAGCAACTTATTTCAGTTTACGGTCAAGTGCTCTCAGGATGTAACATAACATTTGACCATCTTTGTTTAACCACATGAATTATAATTTTTCAGTAAATGAAAATAAGTTTGGAAGATTTTACCCCAAATAAGTTCAACATAAATCTTTAAGGTGATGTTCCTTGGCAATAAATGTTTTGTTAGGCCTGATCTATCTTCAATCAAACCTTTTTCCCCAAATCTAAAGGAGATTCATAGCATAGTGGTTAGCATGCTTGCCTCGCAAGTAAGGGGATCTGGGTTCAATTCCCAGGCAGGGTGAAACCTTAGGCAAGTTTCCTTACTCCAAAATGTCTCTTTACGTGGGAACCCAATTGTCAGTCGATTGGCGCATTGCTTTTCGGAGGAAATGGTTTGTGTGTCAGCCTGGCGCAGTGGTAGCACTCTCACCTCTGAGTTAGAAGGTTGTGGGTTCAAGCCCTATATCAGGAGTTGGAATCACATAGTCTAAGCTGACACTCCAATCCAGTGCTTGGAGTATGTTGCATGATAGAAGCTGTCCTTCGGAAACCGAGCTCCCATCTGCCTGTCAAGGTGGATGTTAAGGATCCCATGGAAAGTGAAGGGAGTTTCTCCTGGTTTCTGGTCAACAATATAAAATTGGTTACTCACTCCATCCATCATTCAGAAATATATGAAAAGATTTCAGAATTGGTTATTGAGAAAAAGGAATGTACAAGATTTGTTTTGCGCCAGTTCAGTAGCATAGAAATTCTACTGGGTAGCAATCACTGCCAAAATCAGGTGTTAGTCAGTGGGAAGATTCGTAAATCAATGCAAAGGTCCCTCTAACAACGTGGTTAGGAAGTTGAACAAGGTGACCAGACGTAGCAACAAAGCATTATTAAGGAATAGCATGCAGCTTTCAAACTCATACAGAAATCAATTTCCATACCAAGGTCCCATTCGGAAAGCGAAGGGAGTTTTTCCTGTTTTGTGACCAACAATACCCCCAAATAAAATTGGTCACTCAATCCATGGCCTTTTGTGGGGCATTGCTGTACGTAACTCGCTGTCGTGTTTTGCCTGCAAAATACACAGTCAATTTACTTTACAGTATATCCTGTGAAGTGCTTTGAGATGTCTCAGTGACATGATAAAGAACTATATCAAATGCAAGTATTATTGTTATTATTAATCTGATATTTTATTGTTGTTCAAAATTAAATTAAATTTCCCCTAATAAAATTCCAAATGAATTACAGTAATTTCATTTGTTTGCTTGCTTGAACATATCCAGATTGATCACTGTAAGTAACAATACTGCCAGTAAATTGTTCACCTTTTCATGCTTGCTACTGAATAATAAATCAACTGTGACCTCATTACTTTTCGCAGTTTTACATGCTGCACTAAGAAATATTCAAGGATTAGCTCCACAAACTTGTCACCTTTTTACAAAGATCCTTTCCTCTATTATGTTGTAAATTTGTTGTAAATTCACTCACAGAAAAGGACTACAAGAATTATTATTAAATTCAGGCAGTTAAAATCCTCATAAATTATAGCTTCCTTTTCCCTCATGCAGTTTCAGGTTAATCTGAATTTGGAGTAATTACGCTCCATTTTCCTCCAGATCTCATATTTGGATTTCAGATGTGCCTTTTGATGACTTTGGTACAGTAGAGTGCCACATATCTGCACGCAATATACCTGCGACACATGTCCATTTATCTGCATCACATCTCAGATTCAGGTATAAACTCGGTGAAGTTAGATGCTGGAGTTTCATTTGAGCATTCATGTTCAATGTAACATATTTTCATCAAGTGCTATTTTTATAAACTGTTCACAAAGGAGATAATGACTAATTTGAAGAGTTAAGCAGGATTTTTTTATAATAGAAGACATTCAAGAGGCCTTTTTTGTCATAGAAAATATGTTGTAGAGTCATCAGAACCACAATCGCATCTTATTAACTGTTTATTACGGCCCAGCATAACTTTACTCTGTGAATTCCATCCATTTTGCCTACGTTCAGATGAGCATTCTTTTACAGTTCAGTTTAACACTAACATTCTTGAAGCTCGTCTTAAGAGGACTGGACCAGTTGGGTTGGAAAGACTTTACAATGCAGAGCCTGTTGCTTTAAGAGTAGAACATAGATATTATTTCATCCATAGATTTAGGCCTCTTCAAGCTGCAAGTTGTCCATGCCACTATGATTTATCTGTGGTGTGTTCAGACAGGAGTGGGCTTGTGTCAGTGGCACATCCCACCTGAGCCACGTACTCTTTGGTATATGGATTATTCTACAGGTGTTTAGAAACTTAATTGCACAAGAAACTATAACCTTTACTTCCTTTATCTTCCGCCATATTACTTTAAAAAATATGAGAAGGCAATCGAGGAGACATGAAATGTGCACTGGAAAATTAACGTCAAATCATTTTTTAAGAATGTTGGCAATTGGAAAACAGCTTCTCTACACAATGCCTGTAATAGCACCTCCCCAGCTTCTGTTTCTGGATATGTTCTGTGCAGTCCTAGATGTATCAAAACAAATGCTGGGATGCGAGGATTAACTACAGAATTTCCTTCAACAAGTCTGGAACCATTTGGCTGGAGATGGAAATGGATATGTTGCTATTCCTATTTTGACTCTGTGCTCCATGATGTGTTAGATCTGTAGAGTACCCCAACATCTGCTCACTGATGAAGATGTTGCTGCTGGAAATGTCAGCTTTTCCCCAGGGTGCCGCTTTATTTTCACTGAACCCTCAAGCACGACAACATTTGAAAGGCAGATGGTGGTTGAAGCAGCTTTGTTTCCCTCTTTACACCCCTTTGCCATTGCCTACTGTATCAAGCAGCTCAACTTTCCTGTACAATCAGAGGCAGGTGCCCTCCTTCAACAGTGGCAGGCAAGATGGGCAGTCTTCGCAGCAAGTGGCAGGGTGCAGCAGGTGGCAGAAGATGTACCCTCTCCCAGCTCACTGGAAGCTATGATACAGTACATAGTGGGACGCTTACAGGAAAACAAAATTAAGATCATCCTCAAAATGATTTCAGAAGACAATTGCACATACATGAATATGTATACATTCATACCTCAAGTGAATTATCCCCTGCTGAATTTTCTTTCCCAACAGGACACTTTCATATTGCAGAGCACACTACGTTTCTACAATGCATAAAACTTACCTTCCTCTCCAACCCTGCAATTATTACACATGTGCTCTCGCTGTACAGTATCCAAGGCAATAGATTTTTACCCATGTGAAATCTTGCATGGGTCCATAATAATTACAGGACCACTGCTTTCTTCCTTGAGTTATCTTTTTCTCAAGTCATTTCTTTGAGAAGGTTATGGCGATATCTTTAAATACTTAAGGTGACATGACTTTTCGTAACAAAGAAATACGAGCAGGGCTTTTTGCAGTCTACTAGAAAGTGCCATTGTTGTTGTGTAGCTGTGTTCTATTATCTTTCATTATTTTTTAACACTGCTAAGTACATTCCATATGCTGTGTCGTAATATTTTACATGCTTTACGACAAAGTAGTCAGACATTATCTAATCATTTAATGATTAGGCAAGGATCTAATCATTCCTAAAAATGGCAATTGTGCTGTGTGGTGAGAAGCAACCGTCTTCTACCTATCTATGCAATAAAGGCTAATTAATTAATCTGTCTATATTTTTTTTAAAAGAAACTCCTTTTGGGTGGAGATTGACATGGATAAGAGGAGTTTGACCACCCAAGCCAAAAATAATAATAAATAATAATTCTTGCCTTTGATATAGGGCTTTATCACGTTGTCGACATGTCTCAAAGTGCTTCACAGGATATACAGTGAAGTGACTGTATTTTGTGGGAAAAATGCAGTAGCCAGTTGCACACAGTAATGTCCCACAAACAACAACAACTTGCATTTATATACCCTCACACAGGGTAGCGTCTCAGAGTGCTTAAACTCCCAAACAGTCATGGAGTAAGTGACCAATTTTATTTGGTGAATTTTGGCCAGGACACCGCAAGAAATTCCCTTTTCTCTTTGAATAGTGCTGTGGGATCTTTAACATCCACCTGAACAGGTAGATGGAACCTCTGTACGGAAGTTGAATTTCCCTATAATGAGCATGAAAGCTGCATGCCATTCCTTAATAATGTGTTGTGTTGTTACTAAGTCTGATCAACTTCCTAACTTCCTTGTCAGAGAGATTCTTGCATTGGTTTTCCATTTCCTGACACTGATAATAGCAGTAGTATTTCTATGCTACTGAACTGGCACAAATTTTTTTCAGTGCATTTCCTTTTTCTCATTAACCTGTTCTTAAATGGTTTTACTGTATATTTCTAAATGACGCTTCATAATTATAGCCTCTGCAAATCCACAGATACCAAAATCATTGAATTTTGAGTTCTCTATGGAAAGTACTATATTACGTGTAAGTGAACCTGCTATAAAAGAGCAATTTTTACAGTGTCTAGCGGTTTTATTAATGCCAGGGAGTGCAACATGCTCTATCGAGGTTATAAAGTAAACTCTCGGACTCCAGGTATTCAGAATTCATATCTAGTCGGAACGGGCCCAAAATGGAAGTGTTTTAAATTTCCGCGGGCCACGTGAAGACTCCCGCCTGCCCAACTCTCCTAGTGCGTTCCCGTCTCACCGTCCTCCAGTGGCCAGGGATATCAGATTTGGTTCAGTTTGAATCCATCGAGCAGAAGATACTGGGATTTACCTGCACTGAAAAAAGCCGTTGCCAAAAAATAATGGTTAAATGTCGAACTCGTATTCTAATTACAGAGCCGGAAATTTTGGCTTGGGGAATGGATCTCCGCCCACCCACACACCCAGCCCCAATGATCCAGCTATCCGGAGTCTTAGTGTAGTTGCTCTATGCCATGCTGCTTTGCAGCAGTGAAACTTGCGTATATCTACAGACTATAGATTTTATACGATACTTTACAACAGCAACTTACACTTATAAAGCGCCTTCCACATAGGGAGTCTTGGAGTGCTTACTTATAACATGGAGCATGGGTTTAAAACTATCACTATAAAGTAAATAAAGGAGAAATTTAAAATGTATCAAATAGTGACTACTCAAAAGATCTTTTTTCGTATCTCTTACAAATATAAAATGTTAAATTGAACATAATTCTGCATTGTTTTTCAATATTTTGAGTCACAGATGATGTGTAAGTATAACTTCAGAATTTAATAATTGTGCTGTAGAATCCCAATTGACATTATCAGAAATTGTCACAATTCAGAGAACACTGGTTGCTTCAAGTTTCCCGTCGTATCTGTTCCACAATCAGCGGACAAACTTTGAACCACTCTTGAAGTCCTCGACTCATTCCCTCCCTACCATTATTCAAGGCCTGTCTCAATTTACCTCTTTCAGTCATCTTTCTGCACCCGATCCCCTCAGCTCCCACCCAGGCTCAGGTGCCCAGTCTCGGGCTTTATCAGCATTGTAACAAATTGGTCACTTCAATACACAACTTTGTGGGACACCGCTGCCAAGTTTCACCCACAAAATTTATTTTACAGTGTATTCTGTGAAGCGCCTTGAGATGTCTCGAAGATGTGATAAGGCGCTATATCAAATGCAAGGATTATTGTTTGAATCCTGTGAACAGAAGTTAGCAAATAGGCTGTCTTCTTTCCGCTTGCACGATTCAAACTGAGTTCAAGCTGACATTTCTGCCCACTGAAGGCCAGAAAACACAGCGAAGTGGGGGCGAGGGCTAGCGGGAATCTACACATGGGCCTGCAGAATTTTTTTAAAATTTTCGTTTTGGACCTGGAATAATCTGGGGGTATACTGTATTATCAAAATAAAGTTCTTCAAGCTAGAGGGGAGAAAGTATTGTGATATGTCTGAAACCTTTTCTGTGTAAATATTCATGGGAAAAATAAGGTCAAGCTATAACAGGGGATGAAAGTACCTCTGCAATTGAGCTGCAAGAGGGACCTCTAGTGTACAATAGATCACTATCAGCTACTTGAGGTACCCTGGACACAATTGTTTTGCACTATTTCTTCCTCGTTGGCGAGGCGATAATGAGAAGTGACGCATTTAAGACAATCACAAAACAAATTAATTTTCTTTGCAAACAGAGTGATTGAAAAATGGGAGAAGCAGCCGATGATAAAAGGGAATTAATTGGTACAGTACGTGCTTAGAAAAATATATTAATGGGTATGTGGAAAGTGCAGAAAAGTGGCTTTAGACTTTGTGGCTTATGTAGAGAAAACGCCAGTGTAGACCTGATTGACTGAATGGTCTATTTATTTTGCTACAACTTTCTGTGATTCTATTTCATTCATTAGTAGTCATTGTTGCAATCATTGTGACCCTCTGAGTGCAGATGTATTTATAATAATAATAATCCTTGCATTTACAGTTTGTCCATACAACATTTGCATTTTCTGCTTCAATTCATCATAATTAACTGATGAATTATCGCAAATCTGTTTTTATTGTGTTCAAATTAGGTGCAAACATGGGAATGTGGTTGAAATTTGGCAGCTCAGAAACTCCTTCCTCCAATTAGCCAGACTGCATGGGTCTCACTAGCCCAAGCTTGTTTCCCTCTCCTCTTGCTCCAAGTTGTATCTAGCAGTCCCTTGGTTTCGAAGCTCAGGACTGCTGCCGTCGGCAGATGGCAAAGAGAACACCAGCACAAAACCTGCCACTCAAAGGGTGACAGATGACTGTAGCTACAGAAAACCGTCCCTTTGTTTGTCTTGCTAATGAGTGTCCTCATTGCTCCAAGAGACTTGAATAGTTAATTATCTGCAGTTCTGAGCTACAACAGATGGTGGAGCTAGAGCTAAAGGTTAACCATTCAAACCTCAGGGTAAATGAAATTGCAAGGAATACTGCCACAAGATTTCCCCTTTCACAGTTTCTTTCAGATCATGTAAAAATATACCTAACTCTTTAATTCGTAATGAAATATTTATTTATCTATCTTGAATATACGACTGTACTCCATTAAAGTCATGTCAATAAACAGCTAAAGGTTTAGTATATTATTTCATGAAGGGCTCTTCAAATACTTTCTGTCTTAATTAACTGTTTTGTCAAGGGCTCCTAGAGCTAATCCAAATATTGTATTGTTTTTGTAATTTACGTGTGGGGAAAAGCCTTGTTGTAACTGTCTATAGTACTTTAAGCTTATAGTATTGCCTTTGGCCCTGATTTTTCATCGAGGAAACCCTTTATCAATTTCGGAGTAAGGCATTTTTAAATGTTATAGTTTTGTTAAACGTCTACTCCTGAACATTTTTATCCTGATGATAATCCTCTTGAGCTTGAGTTTGTACATTTATTTAAGATTTTCAGAATGCTATTGGATGGAGTACATAAAAAGCGCATTCAAATTAAGTAATTTAAATTAAGTTTTGGCTCAGATGCTTTACTAAAAGTTTCCTGATGATGAAGAATAAACCTGTTCTTTTCGTAAATTGAAGAAAAGTATTCAATAGCATCAACCCGCCTGCACAGCCTATGCGTGACAGGCATGCAAAGCCATGTTAATGTTCAGAATATGAATTATCTCCGGGTGGCTCAGTCACAAAGTAGAAAACCAACTGTGTATGTATCAGCAGACCTGATGGACTCCATGTGGCTTCAAGCCTGAAAACTTCACTACTTTGACATGTGACGTGCTCTTTATGACTGTGGCAGTACTGTCAGTGAGGAATGGCAACAATGGCAACAAGCCCCCTCCTTAGCTCTATGCTCTGCCACCCCTGGTGTTGTCCGGCTATACTCTCCCCTGCCTGCCTAGTTACGAACAGCAGTCCTTGAGCACATAGGGGGATGTGGGTGGATGGGCCACAGCTGCCTGCCTGGACACAGCCTCCACAATACATGGACCTGAATGATGAGGGCACACAAACAGTATGATATGTATTATTCTCATCAATAAAATGTCCCCATGAATTATTGTCTTTGTATATAATGTACTAGTGGCTTTTTTCCAAGATTTGTTTTTGGAGGAGTCTATTTTTTCTGTGCACATTTCTCTTTTTTTGTGTTTGTTTCCTATTCATATTCCAATTGATTCATATAAGCCAGCTAGTTGGATGACAGCTCTGTTGTGGAATAATATTCATATTGGCTACACAGCTTGCGATTTCTTCCTTTTTGTTTCCTGTTCTGACAAAAGAGTTCTGTGATTTTACAGTTTAATTTTGAAATGGATGAAGACGCCGAGAAAGAACTAATTCTGATACAAAATGAAGAGTTGAAGAATGAATTAAACTATCTACTGCGCAAGAACGAACAACTTACAGACATTCTCGATATGAGAGATGAGCAAATACAAGACTTAGGTATATTTTGATACAGCAAGCTAAACTGAATGCAAAAAAAGACTAATCCACATGACTATGTAATTCGTAACATGTCCTCCAGCAAAGTTGGCTTCTGTTTGCTGGAGGACAGTTGCCCTCTAGCAAAAAGCTGGGGTGGATATTGGTAATTACAAGGTGTGCATTTTTACGAGTGCATGTTGGAGGAAGTAAATATTCAGCAGGTGCTTTTTTCTCCCAAACAAATGATGCAGGTGCTGAAGTTTACACATTTTAACTGTTTCCTTTTATCTCTGCTTTCTAAGATAATTTAGTTGATTGAAGTTTTTTTGCATGTTGATCAAGCTTATACAGTTGATATATTAAAAAAACTCTTAGAATCTACAACTTACATTTACATAGAATAAATGTCTCAGTACTGTACAACATAAGATTATTTAGAAATTGAGTGAATGTTATGTAAGCAAATAAGTATCATGTGATAATTTGATAAAAAAAATATTTTTTTCTCTCTAAATGATTATTTAGCTTTTTATGTCCATTAATTTTCCCTGGTTGCAGTCCTCTTTCCACCCACTTCCCCATTCCATCAGTTTGCCCCAAGGAACTGAACACTGAACTATACTCGAGGTTTGGCGTGCAATACTCTACAGTATTAGATGATCGGACATGTATCTACCCAAGGAAAGACTTACAGCAAGAGTTTGTTTTGGGTAGATGTAATGTATAAAGACATTTTTCCCACATATGGAAGGTAATTTGGGTGTACTACACTTTGCTGGATCTGAACCTGCTATTTCACAGGTGTAAGGGTACCACCCTATGTAACTCGGTGCTAATACAAAATGTTTTATGCTTTGTTAATATAGTGTTTATTTTGGGCCATTGAAAGTGAGCCACAAAGACTTCTACTATATTTAAATACTGCAGCAAAAAAGTATTAATAAGTCATATTTGACATATACCATATTACTTATTGCTGTTTGTGATCAGATTTAATGGTGTGTGTTGCTTTTGATGAAAAATCCTTTGAGCAGATAAAGAACCACCTGCTAAAGCACTTTGTATTGGCTGTGACTAACAGAGAACGACGTTCATGGGCTGGGCACACAGCCACACTTGGCCCTTGAACTACTACCTAATATCCATTAGACCAGCCGGCTAAACAGCGGGGGCAGAGCAATTGAAGGTCAAGGTTAGTGTTTGGGGTCAGAGTCCTGCCAGGTCTTCCATCCAGTAAGGATTCCAATAGGCTCTGGAGGATGACCTTCAGTACTGAGAAGGACCACGGGGAATTAAAGATCTAATTTCATGGTCTGCCCTTCTTTGTTTTCAGACACTAATTTTAAAAAGCTAAAAATTCAAAATGAAACTGTTGAGACTGCAGTACAAAAGGTAGTATTTCTTTTTACAAATATGAAATTAGCTTGCTTTTATAATTCATTTCAAGAAAGTTCAGTCATGTATTTGCTAACAATGAAGTAAGAGACGAGTACAGCCGTGATACTGTAAATGAACATTTGTACATTAAGCTTGTTTAAGGTATAACTATTAAATGTAATTGCATTAAATGTGGCTTTGGAATTTCAGAGATCAAAGATTTGGAATTAATTACACAGAAAGTAAATTTGCTAACATGATACTACACTATGAAAATATAGTAGTTTTAAAAATTATGCTCAAATAATATGCTAATAATAAATGCAATGAAGCCATTTTGATAGGTTTCTTATTCTATTTTGCTGTATGGTAAAGAAAATTATCTGATTTTAGTTCATGAATGCTGAAGAGAAGTTGAAAAAAGAATTGGAATCAGAGAAAATAAGAGCAAAACAATTGGTAAGTGAAATGTTAAGATACATCAATTGTCTTGATGATTTTATCAAGGTAAATTAAGTTTATTACAATAAAAGCTGAACTCATATTCTAACAAAGAATTGTAATCACTTTTGTTCTGTTTGCAATTATCAGTAAAGCAAAATTATAAAAGATATTGATTAGGTTTTATCTTGTTTGTCACATGAATATTTTAAATTTAATTAATCTTATTGTCAGACTTGATGAATATCTTAATTCTCTCAGCTTTATGACTGTACAAAATAAGTTGTTGATGTATAAGACCCAAGCAAGAAGCAGGAAGAATTTAGAGGTGATGTCACAGGAGCCAGAACAAAATAACTTTAATCTTGGTCAGTTGCGTAGTATGAAGTTACAACAACAACAAGATTACATCTGTATAGCGCCTTTCACGTCAGGAGGATGTCCCAAGTTACATTGAATACAGGAAAAAATAGTTCCTGCACACCATGGAGAGACATTATTTGCACTTGCAAACAATTAGCTTCATTTTGTTTACAACAACAACAAAAAGAAATTCCATTTACCTTGTGCCTTTCATGTCAGGTCAAGGAGCTTTACATGACTGATGAGGAGCCCAAACTGGGAGAAACCGAAGAAGGAATGGGATAGGTGGCTGAAAGCATGGTCGATGAGATAGATCTTAAGGAAGTATTTGAAGGCAAGAAAGGGGGCTTAAATCAGAAAGTAATGTTGAAGTGCCTCTGGAAAGTCATACTTAACCAATCTTATCAATTTTTTAAACCAATAAAGTAGATAAGAGAAATACAGTGGATGTGATGTATATGGACTTTCACAGGTCTTTAATAAGGGGTACATAAGCGCATCATTGTTAAAACCAGGGCATGTAAAGTCAAGGGACAGGTAACATAATGGATTTAGGGACAGCTAGAAAATCGAAACTAAAGAATAGGGGTAAAGGTCAGCTTCTCAGACTGGAAGTAATAGGAATTGGTGTTCCATAGAAATACGTGTCAGGATCGCTACTCAGGTATAAGAGTTGTGGTGTAAAAATTTGTGGATTACACCAAACTGGGGATTTGGTAAATAACGAAGAGGACTGCAAAAAGATGCACGAAAACATAACCAGGCTTGCTGCACGGACGATAGGTGGCCGGTAAAGTTGAACACAAAGAAATGTGAAGTGATTCTTTGGTAGAAAGAATAAAAAAGCCAACTATGCCCTGGATGTTAAGAACTTTAGAGATGCAGAGGAGTAAAAGGATGTATGGCTTGAGATTCATAAGACTCTAAAAATTGTAGTACAAGTGAATGAGTCTATACCAATGCAAATAGAGTGCTTGGCTTTATGTCCAGTAGGAATGGAGTATAAAATAGAGTAATAATAATAGTAATGTTAAATGTATATAAAACCAAGATCAAACCACATTTGGAGTACTGTGTAATTCTGGTCACTGTACTACAGGAAAGACAATGCAGTAATGGAGAAAGTGTAGCATAGATTTATTAGGATGATACCAGGATGAGTGGATACAGCTATCAAGAAAAAATGGACAGTGAGAGAGCTTTTCTCTGCTGATGAGACAATTGAGAGAGGACCTGATAGAGATGTTTAAAATTATGAAAGGATTCAATAAGATAGACATTGATTGGCTGCTTACACATCTTGGTAAGTCCAACAAGTATAAATATAAGATCACCATCAGCAGATCTGAAAGAAAGTTTAGGAGAAACATCTGTAACCAGAGGTGGTAAGAATGTGGAACTCTGTCGGATGCTGTGGTTGAAGCAGTAAACATCAATGTATTGAAGAGGAAACTTGATGCAAACTGGGGGAGAATGGAAGAGAGGTAGAGGTGAGGGAATTAGGAGGGGTGGAGTTTCATGTGGAGTATAAATAGGATCACAGATTAATTGGGCGGAATGACCTATTTCCGTGCTGTAACAGTCTTTGTGATTCTATGTAATTCTATGGTTAGGACATAATTGTAAAGCAATTATTCAAACTGTAACTGATATTGTACTGAAATCACACATTTCAACTTTGACTGCAATGCTTTATCAAGCTGATTTTTATAGAATAATGAATGAAATGAAGAGATCTGAAAAGTAAAGAGGAGAAAATATAAATGAAGTTTCTGCTACCCCACTGTAATTTTTATCAACATGTTGCTTAACAATGTGTTTGGCCATGTTTTAGTTGCAATAAACTACTGTTAAACAGAACTATTGTAATAAAATAATAACCATCTTTGTATTGAACAGAACGTGACTGAAAGAATGGACTTGTTATGAGAAATCAACACTTGATACTGTGTGTGGCTACATTTTTATTTGCACTATGTTGTGCCAAGTGCCTACTTCTGCCCTTTACCCCTATTTCTGTTTAACAGTTGATTATTCAACGTACATCAGTTTCAGTAGCATGTATTGCAGGTTTTTCCTTATGAAGATATCCATTGATATATAAAATGAATTATGACTACTCTTGATAGCAACTGGTCAATAGCACCTAAATTATTTTAGGGTGTACTTTATCTACTAAAAATAAAACAAGCTACGTATGTACATACATGTGAAACCTGATATTGAAGGAAACTTGCACAATGTTTTGTCTTGACCGGGAATCGAACCCAAGTCCTCTCGCTTGTAAAGCCCTTTCTCGCCATCAAATACTTCCTTAAGACCTATCTCATCGACCATGCTTTCGGCCATCTATCCTACAGGACGCCACAACCACGAAGCTACAGGATTCTACTTGCATAAGTTACTGTGTTAGAGTTCGTAGGTTGTAGAGTCATTCATTACAGTTTTAGACTATAGCCTCAATCTGCCTTCAAATGCTTTAGGGATGAATAACTGGATGAAATAGTTGGGGCATTCACATTTACGGTCATTTGAACATTGCAGCCCACCTGTATATTGAAGTAACTAAAGACTTTGTGGTTTAAGTTTTGGTGTTTCATATGAGCGCAGTAACACACTCAAGATGCTAAAACAGCTACCATTGTCCTTTAGAGTCTATTTCTTAGGCCTTTGCTAGTTGTTTCTCCAACCATTTACTTTCCCTTCACTTTTCTCTTCTTATTCTTTGTTTTGACCCATCAGGTGTCTCATCTTTGTGACATACCTGAAATAATAAGATTTTTAAAAAACAAATGGGCACATATGTCTTGTGATTTTCTTTAGGAAAGATGGGCTGATTTGATTATGAATGTGTATTTTAAGTTAGCAAGTTTTGTTATTACAAAATTTTGGTCTGAACTTATCATTCTTCAAATGGGTTTAAATCATAAGATTTAATCATGTCATAAATATGAAATGAATTTTCAGGGCCTTGGGACGTTCTTCCAACGTGAAAGGCTCTGTATGAATGCAATTTGTTGTTGTTGAATTGACTCTCAGACTATACAACATTTAAGAATGCTGCTCTCTAGAATGATAACATACATCATTTTGCGAGTTCCCCTTTTCAGCCAGCCCATCATGGGAAAGTAATGCATCTTCATAAGGAGTAAAAATAACAGATCATGACAACCTAGGCGATGTTTTTCTAAGCTCCCCACACCCGCAGGATGAGTAATAGAAACCGGAGAGCAGGCAAAGAGTTTGCTCATTCATCTGCATAGTGACAAAAGGGACAATAGTGTAGAAAGTAAAGAAAACTAATAAAATCAAAGTACAATAAAAAATAAAGAGCAGAACATTATTTGATGCTGGTATTCGTATAATTTTCTTAGTAAATTACTGAGAAGGAACTGATGTTTAACACTTACCTTTATTTTTCATTGGCAGTTGGAAGAGCAGAAATCACGAATGGACGGCAAGTTATTTGCCACAATGATGAAGGTAAGTCAGACACTACAAGCAAGTTAGACTTTTACACAACAGTCAAATAAATGTATGTTTTCATCAATGGAATAAATACATTGTGCATTCACCGAGAAGTTGTAAAGAGATGCCATAAATCTAATATCTGGATTTTCCAGCAAAACTCACTATGGTATTGGAGACTGGTTTCAAATGAGTAAATTTTTATCTGGCAGATGAAAGTGCATTAATAAATCTTACTCTAAAGAATTTGTTAAAAAGAACCAGCAGCAGATAAACCCATACTGGTGCGGAACAAATGATCTCATTATGTGAAATTCAACCCATTATATTTGTGTATTTATTAGCAGTGTTTAACCAGATGAGCTGGCGCGCTCCCCATTCTGTTTACTGCAGTACCATTGATACCCTACGTTTCTGTATTATAATGCCTGTAGCTGATAAACGTCAAGTTCAAAAAGTAAATCTCTAACATGGAGTAGTTTCTTACCCACTTTACAACTGGTAAAACATAGCCAGAAAATAGGATAAATGTCGAGTTGAGTTGGTAAAACAACCAAGGAGCAGCATTGATCTGGACCATCCTTCTCCCCTGTTGGAGGGTAGCATTGATTGCAGGGGGAGGGGTTCATGGACCAGAGGCAAGGAATAAAGAAAAGTTGAAATAAGTAAATCTTTCCTGATCTGATTTATTTTTCAATACAAATTGTAGTTTATTGAACTAATACTGTTCATTAAGAAACCTGATATAATTCCATACAATTCTTTTGTTCTATACCATAATACTGGGCATAATAAATTTACTTAAAAAAGAATTTGCATATGTTATATGGTAGACAATGTGTGTTTTTTGAAAGCTGCAAAAGGACATTCAGTACTCGAAGGGTAAATAGACCCATTTCATGATGACCTCATTGTAAGCTGTGATTATAAATGAACTGTGAGAAATGGAAAGATGATTGTGTTGAAGAAAACCTCAGGAACAGGGTGCACAATAACCTTGCATGATAATGGCAGTGACCCCATATATCATTGTCACTGCCACACAAGATTGGGAATTGGCACACTTTAGGGCTGTTTAGCTAGCATCACAGGGCAGTCGGGAGTTGAAAATACAGTATTCGAACAGAGAAGGTGGAGAGCGATCAAAGTCGCCAGAAAGAATTTAATAAGAGAAAGCCAAGTAATGTAAAGGTGTGGACAATATGTGCAAAAGGTAAAAACTGAGATGTGTTAAGAACAGATGAAATCAACTGAGAAGCAGAGAGACAATGAAATCTAAATATATTAATGGTGGAGTTGTACTGTAGTTTCTTCTAATTGATTTTTGGAGAGACACTTGCATTATATCAATTAGCAGGAACTGCAAAATCAATGATGTAACTTTGAAAGGTTCATCCAAAATTTACTATTTTGCTGATTTTGCCAATATAAATTATTGTCTAATAGAAGTGGTCTGATTATTTATGTAACATTTAATAGATTATTTAAGATGCATGGTTCTTTCATTTAGATTTACAAAAAATATTGATAAACTTGAAAATTGCTTTTTCCTCTCGGATTGCTGATGTATTATTCTGTATTCAGTGTTACTTTTTAACCAGTATGAAGTAGACAAGGGTGGCTTTGATTTCCACATATCTAGCAACGACAAACATCCCAGGTAATATGTTTTTTAATGGTCAGCCAGGTGTCTGGCACTTGCGGAGACCCATCACCATGCTTAAGATTATCCAAATATTGAAATTAAGTTTCAGCCCTTCAGTCTTTTTAGGTGATAACGTCATCATTGTTGGAGAGAAGAGTGGAGAGGTAATTGTGATTTACCTGGAATTACAAAGGCAGATTCATCACATAGCCACAATTTGGAGGTGTAGACATGCCCTCAACAAGTGATCTGGCCCTGTCAGAACATATTCTGGATGAGTGCAGTTTCACTTCCATTAAGCATAGGAAGGACTGCTGATTTCACTTCACAAGTGTTTCCTGTGCTTAGCGTGCATGAGCATTACACAGAAAGTAATTTGAGCAGTGGCCTGGAAACGAAACTGATAGGCATTTTTTTCACAGACCAGGTATACGTCACGGTGTAATTTTTTGGTTTCAAAACACCTAATTTTAATGAGGTTGGCCTGTAGTTAGTGAAACATTATGAGAAGTCGAGAAGACATGAAAAGCGCTATATCAAATGCAAGGATTATTATTATATTATCTGTGGCAAATTATGCAATATATTAAACAAGGATTGTGGGGATTCATGAGATAAAGATTTATGCTCACTTTGTTCCTCAACTTTAAAGAAAGAGCATTAGGAAAGCACAGACTTATAAAGTTAATACTTCATCCCAAGAAATAGATTTTAATAATTACTGTGAGTCATTTTGAAAACAGATAAATTTAGTTTACATGACATAATGAAAAATATCAATGAGCCCTTGTACTAACAACACCAATACATTTTTTTAAAAAAGTGTTCTCCCTTCTCTCCTGGAAACACTGATATTTGATAGTTTATGTGATTTTTAAAAAAGGTGTTGGGCCTCACCATTCTGTATGTTTAGTGCAGTATCTTCGATGAGGGGGCTAGAAAATCCTGTACTCATCTGATATGTATCGCCCAAGATGCAGCACTGGATAATGATCAAGAGTGTGAACCCTGTTTGACTTTTTCCCATCCCTATTCTCAGAGACTTAATAGTAGCACTCCTCTTCCTGCCTTGGTCAGATCAACCCAAAACACATTGGGGATTATGATCATATGTTGGCTATATTGCTGAATTCATAAATGTTCCTGCCAGTGTGAAACTGCAAGATTTGTCTTTAAAAAAAGTTATTTTTAATAAATCTTGATTTCCCTGTTGTGTTTATACGAGAATGAGAAATTGTGAAATAAAATTTAGCTGACAAGCACTAGGAATGAAATAAAAGGATTTATTTCATCCCTAATGCATACCAGCTAAATTTGATTGTTTTGGAGTTATAATAGCATCTTAATTTATGAAATGAAACACCTATTCCATATTCTCCTATTACATACCTCTACACCCAGTTAACTATTACTGTTTATGTATAAAGAGCATAAGAATGCCGGACTTGGTAAATTCCCATTCTCTAAAGCTATAACATGGATAAAGCGACAACAGTATCATATTCTGAAAAATAGACAGTTGTAAATAAAGGCCGTTAATATTTTGCAGCCTGTTTGACCACAATGCAAAGTCAGACCTTGATAACTTCTATTTAAATGGAAAGGTATATTTTGAAGTGTCTATTACATTTAAATATACAAAAGAACGACTTTTTTCTGCTTTTACCCAACTCTTATGTATATTTCTGCAGAGAATAAATACTGCAAGACACCATAGTTACATATACAAAGTATTAAAAAATTATCTCTACTCTGTATAGATGCAGCATAGTAGAATTTCTCTTCCCCCATGATACGTATTTATCAAACCACTTCTAGGTCTGTATTGAGTCCATTATCTTCAGTTTCAGACTTTGTTTCAAAGGGTTTGTCTTCCATTTAATCTTGACAGAATATTTGGTTTCTCAAGATTTTCTTGTCTGCTGGCTTTTTAAAAGTTTAATATATGAAGGGACTCCACCTTCCACATTTTGAACTAGGTTTAAGAGATTATAATGTTCTTAGTATGTAAAGTAATGAATATAACTAAGTTATTTATTTTTATATGCTTATTTCATTTTCAAAATGTCAAAATCAATAGTTACCATTTCTCGATTCACAATTATTATACATCAGAAAGCACACTTCAAGCCAAATGAATCTGCACTGCATTTCTGAGCAGTGTTCAGCAATAAAATAATCTATCTATGCAGCAAAGACTACTAGCGTCAAGACTTCCCATGCCAACTCTCTTGGCGTTTGAGCACTGTGCCAAACAGTGGCAGAATCCACAGATACTGTTGCAGAAGTTCTTAACAACCATTTACAGCTTGAATTATGCCTTTCCTCATCATTCAACATTTTCAGGACTGCCTTGAGTTTATCAGGAACCATTAGAGCCAATCATGTTAGACGTTAGCCTTGCCAAAGTGTTCTTGGCAGCACTGTTGTTATTCTGCCTAATGGAAAGACAATTTATTACATGATACTAAAGCTTCAGAAAAAAAAAAAATGGAAAGTATGAACCACAATAGACCAGAGGCAACACATATATAAATAAGGATTTTATATTTAAGCATGAATAATGAGATTGCTTCAAAGTGTTTTTAATATTTCACATTTCACGAGCCTTTCTTTTTCAAGCTTAATTGTAGATTGACTGATATTTGATGAAGGAGCATTAGAATATATGATTGTTGCTTTGGCTATTTATTTGAGCTAACTGCTTGAAGGTGCTGAGAGGTTGGGGTGGACAATGGTGAAACAGACAATGGGAGGAACATGGGTATCTGTGAGCATTGATCACAGTAAGTTGGCTCAGGCTTGATGTTGGGGGAGGAGAGTGCCGCTGAAAGCACCTGGCAAATCCAAACTAATGGTCCACCAGTTTTTGGCTGGACCAAGTCAAAACCTACACCTCTGCCCTCACCTCAGTAAAATCAACCTTCAACTCTACAATCATCCTGCAGGCGAAGGACAAGGCAAGGCTCCTCTTCTCCACCAACTCTATTCCTCATTTTTCTATGCCTCGCCCATCCTCTTCTCCAAATTCAAATGTGAGGAAATGATGGACTTCTTCAAGTCCAAAATTGAGTGGATGTACTCTGCTACTTCTGCATTTTCTACTTCCACCTCCTCCCCACTTCCCCACCCCCCTTCTGGCCTCCGCCTATCCCTTCCTCCACAATTTTTATCCCATCTCCTCTTCTTTTCTCACCTCCATCACTTCCCCCTCAAAATAATCTCTTCTTAGAAATCCTTTCCAATAAGCACCACAAGATCACAAGATTGGTTTGGGTGAAGAGGCCTCATTTAGTCTCATTCTTCCAGAATACCCACTATATCAGAAGACCAATTCAATTTATGTCACAAAAGCAGGAAATTTGTCTAA